TAAAACAAAGCTTAGCTCCTGTATCTTAGCCTTAACATTGTTTGGATCTTTATTTAGCCTTTTGGATTGCTTGCTTGTGTTTTCATCAAATTCTGCATGTCTGCTGTGAGGCAGCTTGCTGGCTGCCCAAGGGAGATGCTGAAGGCAGCTCTTCTTCGGTGTCTGTTAGCCAAGTGCCAAAGCAGCGCTAATGGGTTTGGAGGAAGCAGCACGTTTTGCTTTAAAGTATTTTGATACGTGCAGCAGTGGAGTTACTGAATGAATGTGTTTCTGCTCCTCTCTACAGCTAATGCAAAAGAAGAATCAGATGAAAGTACTTTATTGGGCATTGCTGATAGCAGTTCCAGTATTTCAGCAAACTAATTCCTTTGCTATTGAAGTCTTGGCAACTTCTGAGCAGCTTTCAACACCCACTTCAGAGTGGATCTTTGCAATTCAGCAGAGCAGAAGCCTTAGGCTAGAAATGTGCCCCCTCCTCATTCTATTCAAGCTTTGCTGAGAAATACTGCTTCAAGAAATCAGTTTTCCATTTCATGTCTGTATTCCTCAGGAAAGCTTTGGCTGTACATTAAAATAATTGAACACAAATATTCTAAAGTTGAGCATATGTTGATGTCAAGGCAGTATTGGGAACAGGCACTGTGCAGTGAGTGTGTGGGTGGTGCAGAGGAAAGAAATTGTAGTCTTTTTTTAATTGCAGTTAAATGTACTAGAATGTTATCTTTAAAAAAAGATGAGAAATTGTGTAACTTTTAACACTAAATTTAAAAGTTCAAGCTTTTTGGTTAGGAAACATTCTAGTTAGGTTTGCTAGGAACTTGGTCCTATCTCATATGTGGTAATGTAGTGGGTGGGGTTTGGTTGTTGTTTTTTTTTAACTTTTAAAAATTTAGCCTTGTCCTCAGTGTGGACAGATGAAGGTGAGGTGGGCAGTGTAGCTCAGCAGATTGAGTGGTTTGCTGGTGCTGCTGAGGGGTGGGTTCTGCTGCTCCTCGTTGCCTGCTATTGGTGATCTCCATGTTCTAGTTCCTGTTTAACAGTTCTGTGAACCAATTCTGTTCATTAATCTAGCAGTTACGTGAACACTTTTCTGCTGAGTACCAGGAATGGTGCAGGACTGAGTGCCAGGAGCGGTGGCAGAGTGTGGAGTTCTATCTACCCATCTGTGGCAAAGAGATCTTAGACTGCTCCAGTGTACCATATATCCCACATTGGAAGGCCAAACAAATAATTATGAATTTGACATTTCTCCACTCTTTCAGTGTTCAATGTAATGTTATAATATAAACACAGTTTTCTGTATGAAATATATTGTCTCAAGTGTCTAAAAATAATTTTTCCTAAGTATGTCATTTGCTGCCAGTCTAAAAATGAAGTAGAATTCTTGACAGAATTTGTCTTGTGTATGCAGTAACATAAGCTTGTGTGAATTTGAAAAAGGCTCAAAACAACTAATCATGACTTGGGAGAGTGTGTATTATGAACCTAAAAAATCGATATATGTGTAAATGGTATAATCCTGGTGCTCTGTGATCAAAAGTAAAACCAGCCTATATTATTGAAATACCTGTATTTAAAGCTGAACAGAAAAATTCTATTCAAGCTGGAAGGAGAACTGTGTTGGATACCAGAAAAATTATTTTTATCCTGTGGTTAAGAGCTTTTCTCCCCCTTCTGAAGGTTTCATGGAGATGGTGTGAAAACAAACACGGAGAATGATAAATGTTCTTCACTTCAAAAATGTCTTAGTGTAATCTCTCTTAATAAGATTTTGAGTACTCACGTAGGTGTGTAACAAGTTAACTCAAACATGGCCTTACAGCTGGTTTTGCATGCAAACCTTTTTGGACATGTTTATGTGAACTTTGCATAATTTTACACTGATTTACATTCTGTGTATCTGATTTTAATTGTATGTGTTACATTGGGACTTTTTTTGTTGTTGTTTCTGCCTTAAAATTACCACTGCTTTTGAGACTATGGCTTTGCTCTTTTGAGTGCTGTTCACTGCTGATTAGAACAAAATAGACTAATTCAGGTGGAAGGGACCTATACAACGATCATCTTGTCCAACTGCCTGACCAGTTCAGTGCCGACCAAAAGTTAAACCGTGTTGTTCAGGGCATTGTCCAAATGCCTCTTAAACGCTGACAGGCTTGGGGCATCGACCACCGCTCTAGAAAGCCTGTTTTTTAGCTTCGTAATTTTATAACCTTAGAAGTGTTGGTTTTCAGTTGGGTGGTAGTTTTTTGGTTTGGGTTTTTTTTTTTGGGGGGGGTGGGTTTTGTGTTGTGTAGCTGCATTTGTGAAATACATTAAGTGATGGGTTAAAAAAAAACAGCCACCACATACAACAGGAGTCATTGAATGAAACTGATTGTTAATAAAACTTCTCGGAAAATATAATCGAAGGCAGGGAATGGGCCAGATGGAAAGGGGAAATCAGATGATCTTTCTTCTCATGCTGTAGCAACAGAAGTCTACGATTTCTGAGGTAGTTTTGCACAGACACAGATTGATATCCATCTCTTCTGTAAGCACTTTACACTTTCACTAGTAATAATGGAACGTAATTGAATAGCTGGATGTTCAGCAAGGGCATATAGATGGTGATCTTCAGTCTAAGGTTTTCTTTGGTGATTATGGACGTGCTAAAGTATGAAAAAGCAATTTGGCTCTTGCCGTAGCAAGTAACTTCTTGGTTTAAACTTAGAAGGTGTTGTGTTTGTTGCTGGTTACATTACTGCTGATTGAACCCCGGTGAAGATAAATTTCCACCCTTTCCCTGCTGTGCATGAAGTTCCAGATCTGAGTGACAAGCGCCTACAAGAATCTGAGCTCCATTTGAGAACAAGTGAAGGGGGTTGACAGATAACCTCTGCCTCACCTTGGTGCAGCATTTGGTGCTATAATTCCATATTTTCTGTATTCAAACTAATATAGTATCTGGAAATGTTTGATTTTTTTGTGATATCTGTCAGTGTAGCAAATAATTTCTGTGTTTAGAGTGAAACAATTTTAAAATGCAAAGTCAAAGTGTTTTTTAAGAGTTTGAAGTAGTTGCAGACTCTTCGATGCTTTCTAGTTGTGTATTCCTGCAGTCAGGAGAGGTCCAGAGGAGGGCCACAAAAATGATCAGAGGACTGGAGCACTTCTCCCATGAGGACAGGCTGATAGAGTTGGGGTTGTTCAGCCTGGAGAAGAGAAGGCTCCAAGGAGACCTCATTGTGGACTTTCAGTACTTAAAGGGGGCTAAAGGAAAGATGAGGAGAAATGTTTTAGCAGGGCCTGTCAGGGCCTGTTGCAATAGGACAAGGGGTAATGGTTTTAAGTTGAAACAGGGTAGATTGAGACTAGATAGAAGGAAGACATTTTTCACTGTGAGGGTGGTGGAACACTGGAACAGGTTGCCCAGAGAGGTGGTAAATGCGCCACCCCTGGAAACATTCAAGGTCAGGTTGAATGGACCTGATCTAGTTGAAGATGTCCCCGCTTATTGCGGGGAGTTGGACTTGATGGCCTTTAAAGGTCCCTTCCAACCTGAACTACTCTATGATTCTATGAACTTTGTGCATAAGGTTAAGAAATCCTAGAGCCCACTTCTTTGTTTGGGCTAAATAAAAAATGAGTGACCTCAGGGCACTTCTCCCCTACAAGATGACAAAATGGAAGCTGCAGAGATAACTAGCTCGCCTGCCTCCACTTCAGAAATCCCCGAGGTATGTAGCTCCTGTCACAAACCTCAAGAGGCTCAGAGGCAAGCGTCTTAATTGCTTGTTCTCCTTTCCAGTATCTGTACTTCCATATCCAGACCTCTTAATTATCAGCAAGAATGTGTGATTCCATGTACCAGCAGTTGTGATCTAGTTGTTGTTTTGTTTTTGTTTTTTTTCAAGGACTGTTATTTACTTGGGCTGAGTATTGCAAGCTGAAAATAGTCTGCTGCAGCATGGTAGTAGAGGTGGGCTAACGTAACTCAAGTGAATTTGAGGTTACTTAGAAATTGTTTATTTCATTGCAAGACTAAACTTCTGTGTCTAAGCTGCTGATCTTGAATCGCTTGTTGTGAATATAATTTTGTGCCATAACGTGCCCAGTATTTTGATTTATCAAATCGTGAAATGATTTCAGCTGTGAGACTTCAGGGTGGTGTAGTGACAGAAGTTTTTTTGTCTACCATGTGTATTACCTGCAGAAATACCACAAAAGCATTTGAAGAAAGACTTTAAAACAAGAGAGACTATTTACCTTGGGAATTGCTTGAATGTGTTATCCTCAAATGAGTACTTTTGGCTCTAGGCCATATGAGTGTTTTCAGTTCAGCTTGCATATTGTATAAACTTGAAACTAGTTTTTGTAAAGTTTTGTTTTTTGGTGGCTGGTTGGTTGCGTTTTTTGCTTTGGCTCTTCGTTTTTATTTGGAATTTTTGTTCTGTTTAAATTATTTGTGTTTCTAAGACGTATGGGGTCAGTTTTTAGATATATCCACATGTATTTCAACAAAGTTTATTTAGTTCTGGAAGAATGACTGTGTAAAACCATCTGACGAGGTAGGTTCTGGCAGTGGTGTCTTGTGAACAGCTTGCTCATGATGGTTGATGTTCATTGACCCTTTGTAAACCCTTTGTTGGACACCGTTTGTTGACAGCTGTCACAATGTCTCTGAACTGTGTGGTATAGTAATTGCTGGTGACCAGTTAAAGGATATGATTAAGGATTGTGACTCATCGTGAAAGCAGCCTTGGGAAACTTGTGATTTTTTTTTTTTATGATTTCCTACCCTTCCTCCCCCCCTGCCCCTCAGCTTATTGTCAGTCATAGTATGAACAAGGCAGGTGTCTCTTACTACTCATTTTCAGCAAGATACACATGGTGACCCTCAGTGTTGGTCTCTGGTCTGTGTGTGCCGCAGTGAGGGTTTTGGTAACTTTGAATCCTGATTTTTAAGTACATATTTTGTATGTGAAAATACTTAAGATATCTTTTCTTCCTCTCAACAGCTGGGAAGGAGAAACCAAAAACCAATGCAGAAGAGCTACAGATTAAAAAAGTGAAGAAGAAAAAGAAAAAGAAACACAAAGAGAATGAGAAGAGGAAGCGTCCAAAAATGTACAGCAAATCCATTCAGACCATCTGCTCAGGATTGGTTTCTGATATTGAGGATCAGGAAGCCAAAGGCATCATAGATGATCATCTTAAGGATTTCAATGGGAAAAATATGGATCCCAAGAAGGACTGTGAGTCCAAGATACCAGAGAACAGTGAGTTTCCATTTGTCTCGTTAAAGGAGCCACGGGTTCAAAATAAACTCAAAAGGTTGGACACATTGGAGTTCAAACAGCTGATTCATATTGAGCACCAGCCTAACGGAGGTGCATCAGTTATCCATGCCTACAGTAATGAACTCTCCCACTTATCTCCTGTGGAGATGGAGAGATTTGCAGAAGAGTTTGTGGGTCTGGTTTTTAGTGAAAATGAAAACTGTGCAGCTTACTATGTAATGGGTATTGTTCATGGGGCAGCTACTTATTTACCTGACTTTTTAGACTACTTTTCGTTTAATTTTCCCAATTCACCAGTGAAAATGGAGATTTTGGGAAAGAAAGATATAGAGACAACGACTATGTCAAATTTTCATGCTCAGGTAAGAGGTTATACATTTTACTTTCTAAAGTCATATAATGGTTTCAAACAACTGTGAATGGGGCTTGTGCGATGTGGATGACGCAGAAGCCTAAAAACAAGGGAATTCTTTAATAAATTAGTTCTGCAATGTTAAACATGTGGAGCCTACTAATGAAGCGAACAGTTGGATTTTGGGGAGGAGGGGAAGCGTTTGCATGTGTGTCTGTGTAGGTTTCTTTGGATTTGTTTCTGTAGCTGAAGCGTAACTGAGTTTTGGAGGGTTAAAATGATTTAGCTGCGGCTCTCCGAGCATCTGAACTGTAGTTTATCTGTATGAACTTTTTCATAGAACTGAAATGCGTTAATTCATTAGAATAATGTTATACATAAAACCTGTGTTAGGGCACAGTTAATTAGTTGCATTTGTAGTTTGAAGCTTCTAAATCCATCCCTAAAGGAGAATGTAATGATGGTTAACGTAGCTACTAATTTGATCCTTACACCTTCGCATTTCCCCCCTGTTAGCTGTATTCTTTTGAAAGCTATTAAGTTACCTGGCAAATTGGTAGGCAGCTTTTGAATCTCTCTTTTATTTTTTTCTTTAAACTTTTATTTTCCAGAGAGAAATGTATGTATACTGTCTTAACAACAGCTACTGATTAAACATCACCTTTGCTATTTCTTAACTTGTAGTAGAAGATACACCACTGTTGCATGTAAATTATTTATACTTCAGATCTTTTAAGTTCAGGGGGAAAAAAAAATTCTAACTCTTTTGGATTGCCACCTTAGTGATGTATGTAAAGCCCATACAGATACTCTGAAACAATTTATGAAGAAACTCAATGCTGTTTTTCATTATATCAACTTCAGCTCAAAATTGCCTGTTTAACTCCCTAATTGTGAATTTAGATGCTTTATGGAACACCTTTAAACTACTTAGTCTTCACTTTTTAGACAATTATGAACAGTTCAAGTGTAAGTTATACTGTCATCTTTTTGATGAAAAACATACCTTTCTTTTCTTTGGTTATAAAAACATTTGGGTGGACCACTCATGTATTTATTGACAAATTTCACGTGTTTGTTATCCACAAGGATATACAAAACTGAAATGTTGTTGCAAGAGAATATTTGCGGTGCTGGTTAAGAAGACTTTCACTGCCAAGGAATATGAATATTCTATGAGATATATTCACTATTTCTCTTATGTATATAAACTGAATCATAAATCAAAGAATGTATTATGGGCAGTTACCTAGAACTGTTCTGTATTAGGTAATTTCATACAAAAAAGGTGGATCTGTCCTTGTAAGCATGTCCACCTTGCAGTCCAACCTGAGCAGCATTAATGTAAGCATAGGCACTGGTATATGCCCTAAAGAAATTGTTAAGAGAAGACCAAATTCTATTTTTGTGAATTATAATGGAGTTATTTTACTGAAAGGATGGATTAACTTGGTACTATGATGGTGTTATCAATATCTGTACTTAAATTAGTCCTGTGATCATTGGTTTTGAGATTATAATTTCCATTTTTTCTGTAAGTGAAAGAGGAACAGAGAGAGAGTGTAGTAGATGAAAGAAGCCAAACTGTATTATTATAGCATTCAAATGGTCAACTTTAGTCTGTCTTCTAATCCGTATTTTGCTTGGCTGGAGGTTTAGTTCTGGCATCTTCCTTTGTTTCCTCTGTTTTTCAGTTAGTATTTGTAGCATTTAATCACTTGTCAGAGTTTGCTTGACAGAAAATTCTTGGCACTGTGTATTTTTGCTAACATGAAGGATGTAGTGTGTATAAATAATGTACGCAGGCGTACACTGGGCTTACTCATATCGTCTTCTGTGCAGCACTGGTGTTCCCTGGAGTACTGAAGTCAGTATCGTGGTTGCCTAGTTATTGATTCTATTTTCCTTTATTATTTCTCTTTTTTTTTTTTGTGTTACTCTGGGAGCTGATGTTGTCTGTCTTGGGTAATCTGCTACATTTGCAAGGTTTTGTTAGCTCCTTTCTGACTTGGGCCAGTATCAAAGATGTCTAGGAAGGGGCACGAGAGTCTAGTGCTCATAGCAATCCTGTGTCAGAGTGCTCATCCTCCAGGGGTGTGACAGGACGTTTTTGAATCTGAGAGTTGTGAATTCTGTGGTTTTAGCTTTCAGCTGTATTTTTGTGTGTATGTGTAAATTTCTGATTCATTAGTATGTTACCCCTCTTTTTCCGCTTTCTGCCTCTACCTACATTTATAAGAGGTAATAAATGATTGCATAACTTGTTAAGTTTTGTGCAGATTGATAATATTTTCCTGTCTTGTTGAGTTCTTTGTCAGTCTTTTAAAGGGATTCAGATATTCTGTTGCAGTGTGTTTCAATGACATTTTAAATGTAGTTTTCTGTTCCTGCATTGTAAAACCTCTGTGCTGCTGCATTCCTTGTTGTCCTGAGCTGCCTGAGTGATGTCCAGCAGATGTTGCATAGTCTCAGTTGAGAGGAGAGTGGTTTTCTGATATTTAAGTAGGAACTTCATTCCATCAAGTCTACTCTAAGTATCTATCTCACCCTTTTTTAGTCTTAAGAAACTTGGGTATTGCTTTGCTAATTTTAACTAAAATGCTGAAATGAGGCTCACTTCAGTACATTAGGTTATTTGGTTGTTTTTGAGAACTCATTTGTAGCACATGTAATCAGTCTGACATGTAAATATTTAAAAAGATCTAAAAAAATATAAATGAAAAAAAAAAGACAGATGAGCTAAGCCTGAAATGGAAAGTATTTTAGAGTATTTTATCAGGTTTTATTTCTCAGGTTGATTCTTTCACTACTATTCAGTAAGCTTCCACCTCCTGTTTTGCAGCAGATGAGTTTTCTTGGCTTTAAGTAATGCGTATTTTAAAGTCACTGAGTTCTGTGGTATAATGCAGGTTTCCCCACAGTAGATTCTGTTGGCGAGATCAAAACTGTTGGAGTCCTCTTAAGTCTGCCTGGAAAGTCTGCACCTCTTCAGTAATTTAGTTTTCACAATTGTAGAATCAAAAATGAACTCCTCTCTGCTTCCCAATATTCCTGTGTCAGACAGAAGTAATATAGTTTCACTTGTTAGGAGATGAGAAGTGGGCAGAAGCTTGAGGGTAGTTAGAGCAGGTACAGGTGAGAGGAGTTTGTGTTGGAGCTGGTTCTGTCTCATCAGAATGAGCTTTTGAATTTTGGAGGGAGAGGAATTGGGAGTTTGTCATCACCTAGCCTGGGTCTAAGTTTAAGTACTCCTTAATTCTTCATTTTTTTTCAGGGTAGTGGAACAGCTATGTTTCTGTGACCTCTGTTTCTGTAAGGCTTGGTCAGACTGTTTCTATAATTGGGCAAAGTGGAATTATTCTGGGTATCCTTACAACCAGTAAGTTACTCTTTCAGGTGGTGGGAAACTGTCTGACGTGTGTACATTCTTGGGCTCCATCATTTGTGTAGGTAGCAACAGCTGCATCAGGTACCTGATAGATATGAGTCTTACTTGTCAGGTTCTTATGAAGATTTCAAAGAACGTAAATAATCAGCTTTTGCCACCTACTTGCAGCTTACATCACTTCAGTTAAGCTATTTAGTGCTGTTGAGGGAAATGCCTCTCATATTTAGAACCTGTTACTGTGCCCTCACGCTGGGTAAGCCCAAATTTTTATTGCCTTGCTAAAACCCCAAAGTGCACACTTTTTGTTTAACCATAACAGCGCATAGTGGATTGACTTTACTGTGCTTCAGTCTTCTCCTAGAGGCACCTTCTTAGAACAGGTGATGTAAAATGCTGAGCAATACCCAACAATTCGTGTGCTTCAAGACAAGATTGACTAATTTTTAAGCTATATCTGACAAATGCTTGTCTGATGTGTGTGTTTGGAGATTTGTGATTCCACACTTCCCAACAAATATGTTGAACAATCTTTATTCTTGTTTGCCCTCTTATCTTAATCCTCCTGCCAGGCCTCTTTTCTGATCTTTAGTGGACAAGGCAAACAGTTTATGGTTTTCTTTTGGTATTCTCTGTATTTGCAGATTGCTCAACAGCTTCTTTTCCCTTCCTTACATGAAGTAATTGGAATTACTTCAGTTTGCCATTACATGTTGTACCCTTACCAGTCTTACTGTTCTCCTCTTATGCTCTCTTCAGTCACCCTTATTTTTCTTAAAATACAGTACTGAAAAAGGATAGAGTCTGCCTGGTGCGTTGTTGTCAAGTAGTATGAGAAGATTACTTCAAGTGTCTTGCACATTATTGCTCATTTTTATCTATTCCTGCCTTTTTCAAGCAGTTTGATCTGCTGTAGTGGCAGCTCCCGCTAAGTGAGTTACTCCCCTTTTCATGTTTATGTGGGTAATTATATATATCTGAGTGTAGTTCTTTGCTTTTATTCAAATTGAATTATATCCTGTGTACTCAGATCCCTTCCTGGTTTATCAAAGGCCTTGTTAGTTTTGATCCTTTGCTGTAGTAGGTTTGCAGCTTTGTGTTACCTGCAGGTCTAATAAGCACACATCGTGTTCAAAGGAAGGATCCTTGCTGCATGCCACAAAATGGGTCCTTTCATAGTGATAGTTGTGTGAATGCAGACAAATTAAAACTGCCCACTGTTTGCTGTTACTAGACCAAGTTTCCGTGCAGTTTTGAGAACATAATGCAGATGTCAGGGTGTGTACTGGTGCTCTGGAAAAGCTTATCCTGTCATAGAAAGAAAGGTTAGTTTGGCTTGATAGGTTTTTTGGGTTTTTTTGACATGTCCATGTTTATTAGCTTTTAGTATCTTATTTTCTGGGTGGTTCAGGCAGGAGTATCTAGCTAGCTGTTTTTTCTGGAAATTCTTTTTATTGCCAAATTAGCAAATTATATTAGTTTACTATGTCAGTGGCAGCTCAAGGATGAGTGTGAGCCTATACCATCAGCCCCATTCTGTAACAGCAGGCAGTATGCATCTTCGGAGAAATACTTTTTCCTGGTTTTTTTTCCTCAGCATGAAGAAATTTATTCCATGTTGCCTG